AAGGTTCATCTTTAAGTTTTCGTAAGAAATAATTATTATAATTATTTTTTTTATAATCTATTTTTTGTGAACTGGTGGTGTTCGGGTCTGGTTGTGCCATTTTGATAGTAAAAAAAGAAACTTTGAGTGACTTTAGTCGAGTAGAATCTAAATAAGATTGTGAGAATAGCGCTAGGGAGATTCTCACGTGAATTTAAGTTACACGAGAATACGCAATTGTTGGATCATCAAGCAACTTGATCCGTTGTATACACAGTATATAGTTATTTTATTACCTCTCTCAAAAAGCTTCTTCATACTCGTGCTATGTACGAGTTTAAACATTCGAATCAAGAACTATTCTTTTTTTTGGCGAAAAAATGCATGATAGTGCACAAATTTGAAAGCGTTTTATACGTATTATAGTTCTTTAAATAATGATCTAGATCTAGATCTAGATCTTGATTCTTGATCTTGAGTATACCGCTTCATTTATTTCGCGAACAACGATCGTATTTATATTAAAAATATTTGAGCCGCATATGAACACTAACCTTATTCATACTCTGTTTCCACATGTACCACTAGAAATTTAAAGAAAAAATTCCATTTGTTCTAGTACCGTAAATCGCCGTATACAAGACCCCCATCAGCATGATAGTAGACTCACCACGTAGTATGCCTGGATGCGAATCATGAGATCCATATTAATCAAACATGTTTTTTTTCAAATATCTGGATTGCCTATTATAAGTGCAAAACGTGTGTACTCTTCAAAGTTTTCCTCTTAGTGACATGAACTCTCGGCTGCATACTAGACCCGGGGTCTATTATAGGTTTTAAAAATTGGTAGAATGTAAGAGACCGCGATTTACGGTAGTACCGGTACGTATCGAATTTAGGCTTTTATAAAATATTATTATCCAATCTAACATGAAGCTCTGTTTTTTTTTTAGCAAACTTATCCAGATGATTATTTTCCTATACCTCTTGCTGTCTTGTCAGTGTTCTATTCTAGAGTAGTATCGAATAGATTTCTGTGGATTTAAATCGCTTCAATAGATTTTGAATTTTAAAATCATAAAATTATTGTTTTTTAAACGATTTGGTTGGTTAAAGCTCATATTAGATCAATGTTTTTTACTTAATCGATTAAGTGACTAAGCCGTTTTTTAAAAAAATTACAAATTACACTAGCACGCATTTTTAAAAATTTTTAATAAAAAACTTGAAACTTTATTTTTTTTTTTTATTTTTTATTAATAGCAAATTTTATTAACTTATATTAAATTTTTAATAAATTAATTTTTTTATTTCGAATTACATATTTTATTTCCAATAAGTTAATACTAAAACGATATTATACTAAAAAACTAATTTTTATATATTAATAAAATATAAAATAAAAATTTAATAGGATACTTAGTTTCAGCTAAAAATATTAGCTTACTTATCCTAGTCACCACGTAACGGTGTATCCTTATGACCAGGTTTATAACAACCGGAGCTGTAGCCTCCATTTCAGAGGAATTATTCGTTGAACTACATGAACAACATTGTCCAATAACATGGATAATCGTTCATAGCTCCTTAATTGGAGCCTTTTCGCCCAAAGAAGTTCTCAAAGGCCTAGAGTTCGGCATTTTATATTAAGTAAAAGGGCTAACGTTCAAAGAAGCCGCCATAAACCTCAATAGCGCCCAGCCTCCCTGCCTACCTAAGAAAGGGTCCTACCAATACCTTCTTTTGGCATTTAAGAGTCCTTAGGTAGGGAGTCCAAGGAAACTTTTAAGAAAATTAAAGTAAAAAATTATTATAAAGAAGAACGAATATAAATATTGTTTCTTAAGCTCTTTTCCGAACAAAATTAGAAGAAATTAAATTTTTAAATGAACCCGAGAGACTCATACCCATATGGATTCATTTTTCGGAAAACAACACGAAGAAACATGGCGTATTTGATTTAGTTAGGGTAATAGAAGGTTGGTTTCTTATGTAGTTAATACTTTTTTTCAGCTGTTCTAGGAAGTTTCATAACTAATCCCTTATGCAGGACCAGTAGACCCGAAGCTTGCAAAAAAAAAGTACCTCAATAGTATTTAAAATTTATAAAAAGGGATTATGATCGATAATTTAAAGTTAAAACACATCAAACAAAAAAAAAGTTTTTATATAGTTTTTTTCTGAGTTTGATAAAATACGACATGTATTGTTTTGATAGATAAATATTACGTGTATTGTTTTGATTAATATAATTGATGATTTCGCGTATTGCAAGTAAACACCCCTGCAGTGTTTATTTTTCACGATGTGCGCATGCGCGGATCCATGTTGGTACGTGAAAAATAAATTAATATAATCGCGTATTTCGCGTATTTTTCTGCAAGTAAACACCCCCCTGAATAGTAATTCAGAAAAGCACGTGATTAATCTACCAATCGAATTACAGTAATGCAGAACTATAGGACGACATTTGTCTAAGTTGGTTAATATAAATAACTTCACTAACAAAAAAAAAATTGCTGTAAAAGCTAAACGAACTAATACTGTATTCATTGTTAAAATTAATCACCTCTACAAAAACTTCACTTAGGAGCGAATATTTTTACTATTTACTATATGTAAGTTTTAAATGTCAAACCGGTAAATAAAAAAGGAAGATTGAAATTACAATGTAAGCTTTAAACTTAGAATTTTGAGTATACTGTACGGTTAATATGCTATATATTATAATAATATGTTTGTACTAATGTTTACTGTATATTTTATGTTTATAGAATTACTGTATACTACTAGAGTAGTAAATGGGTTAAGTAGTAGGTCGAGAATATGTATAAGTGTTATTGTTTCATTAATTATATTGACTAAGGATTATGTCGCGTCTTTAATAAAAGTCGTTATAACTAAAAATAAGATAGAATTATTTTAATTACTTTTCATAAATAAAGAATAAAAGATAGCTTCGTTAATAATTTATTCGCATATTGAATTTTTAATTGATTTGAGCTTGGATTTATTAGTAATAAATATCAATTTTACGCGTTATCAATCTATTTTTAAAACAAATTCTTTTTTTGCGTGCATTTATTAGTTTGTAGGCTTCTTTACGTGAACTTTTTGTTTTCTAAAATAAATCTTCCCATTTTGATTGGCTAATTATCACGTAGATCTATGAACACGTACGTCAACTTGTGGCTCGAATAATTCGAGTTTATCACGATTCGAATCATGATTTGTGAGATTCGGGAGTTAGTCTGGTACCCAAATCCGCTTTTATGGAATGTAAGTTAAATTTTCATGACTTGAATAATTCGAATAAATTGATATCAATCACATGATTCGATACTTTCTGAGCTTAATTCGCGAGTCACGAGTCCAGTCTCTGACGAAAAAAAGTTTGAAAAAAATAATAAAAAAGAATGTTATCATCGATGTCATTTACCGGTATTAATTTTTTCGCACAAAATACACTATATTTAAAATATCAAAATCTAATATCATTAATATCATTTACCATTAGCTTTTATTTAAGAATCTATTGAAAAAAGCCATATAATTTAATGACAGATCTGACATCTAGTATCTAGTATAATATAAATTTTTATTAAGAAAAAATAAATGTTCGTAAAAGATTTTTTTATGTTGATAATGAGGCTAAAATAAATCAAATAAATCTAATAGGAAATGGTAGATATAAATTTATATATCAGATATATAGCGAACTTTAAATACGTCGATCAACAATTCGAGTAAATAAATTAAATACTGAAATAAGAGGTTATTTTAAATATATAGTCATTAATCGTTACAATCGCATAATAAATAATTTTATTACCATTACGAATTAAATACTAAAAATTTACACGATCAAAAATAACTGATTTGTATTGAGATAAAAAGATGATCGAAACAAATATTATATATTCTAATCAAATTAATTATCTAATACTATATATATATATATATATATATATATACTTGGATTTTGGTATTCAACATAGCATTTTCTATATCTATTGTTACTGAATACCAAGCGATCGAAAAGAAAACAATATGTAAGCATGACGAAGTACAACAATGATCCATAACAATATTAATGTTCAATGAAATAGTTTTGTTCAACCTTTCCTTTTTTTTTTTTTTAAACTCAAAATCGCGCTAGCTATATTTTTAATCTACTTTGGAATCTCAATAGTCAATAACTATATTCAGCATGGTGGACAAACCTCGTAGCACAAACTTCCCACGCTGACTCAGGGTCGATCTGTCCAATAAAAATATGATATT